GTTGGCTTTTGAATGTGCACAGTGAACTATGGCTGTCCTCTCACTGAATAGTTATTTTCAGATTCATTTAAAGACTGATCAGTACACCTAAGGCCTTGTGTAAATACGAGCTGTACCACGCAGAGACTATTGTCACCTTCCTACAATTCTGCGATATTCGTTGTGGAATTTCAACCGATAAAACCAACTCGAGCCCCGCTTCTCGCCCACTTACTTCTCCTAGTGGGTGCTAGTAGTTTCCCATTGTATGTCACACTGACGCAGGCTATCCCGAAGACAATATTTTGTGGTGGAGTGTAAAGAGAGCTTGACAACCAAATCTACGTACAACTACCTACCCCCATGGGACTTCTATGTGGTTTACCAATCTAAACCCCTGGATTAGACTGCTATTCTCCAAACAACCAGAAAATCACGTTTTCGATTGGAGAGCGGATCCATGGAAAGAACTCGACATCCGTATTCACACTTTGTACTGGTATAGTCTTTCTACTACACGGGAAGCTGTTGACATTGAAGCTCGCCCGTAATTTCAGGCCTTTGTTTAACAGGGGAAGTTCTGATAATTGTCTGTTAGCCAGAAGGGTCCTGTTTCGGATGAAGCACTTGGTCCTTTCATTTCCCTCTTTTTTTGCTGGGTTTTGGATGGAATGTAGAATCGGTAATTGCAATACATATGTTTCCTAGCTGTCATGGTTTCATTCACTGATTATACCGAGATTTCGAGTATGATACATGCTTGAAATGTGAACCACATAGTGGGGGTGGTGGCGCTACTGATCTTGTGAGAGAGAGAGAGAGAGCTCCTTTACATTAGAGGATGCACGAAATCAGCCTGGCTCCTACCTCCGATATGTAGTCCTAATTTGGAGAGACGTCAAGTGTCAATGCCATTGAGTGTGTCCGCTCCGTTCTCCATAGTTCTTCAGCGGGTTCATACCGGACCCCCTTTTTGCCTGCTCCCACTTAGCGACGATTAAGTTAGAAAGCGCATTTTTGAGAATTCGGTCTGCTGTTGTTCGAAGTAGGTGGCAAAACCATCGTTATGTGTGTTGTACATCCCGATCGTTTGTCGGATGGGTTATTTCCCCTCGAAGGTCATTAGACGTACCGCAGTTTTGCTGATCTGATTATCGGACCAGATTCGGCAATCGCTTCAGTTACCTTGTAACCAAGAGTTGAAAAAGGGGACCATCGCTTTGCGTATAAAGTTAATCAACCGAGAAAGCGCATTTCAGTTTGTCCAACAAATGGGTCAATGGTGCGAACAAACACACAAACCGGATCGACACGTTATGCAGTTCCAACTGTCCCATGTAACCGTGGGTTATAATGAACACTTGATTACTCAGCCTGTATCGGTGAACATTGTACCAGCGGCCTGCTATTCCCGTGCACTGACGGCCGCTTGGGAGCATGTACACCGTTTCAAGTTTCGGGATTTCACAACCTCTAGTCTACCTTGGACCGTTACGCGTTTCTAACATGAGCAAGTCCATTGATCGGACGATCAATATGTTTATACTTATCCACCACTTGTCCCACTTGTCTATCATCCGCGTTACTTATCAGAGTTGAGTTCTTACTCTTCAAATGTGTGAGGTTGAGCAGCGTCCTCAGTAAGTCAGCAGTGAGAAAGAATCCGTTCAGTAGGGGAAAACTCAGTCGTTTCATTCCATTCCGAGGCGTCTGTCTTTTCATTCATACGCAGTACGCCTAGTACTTCGGACTCATTTCAAGAGTTGACAATTTCCCTCTCCCTTTGTACCAATTCACAACAAGCTACCTTGCGTGTGTACCTCATTGTGAAGGTCACGCACTTGGCTTGCTAGTGATAGTGTTCGGCTTTCAGGTGGATGTGTGGACAATCTCACATAAGATTTAGGCGCATCTGTGTGATGTTGATAGCGTCCCGGGTAACATTCTTCGGACGAGCGAGGGGAATGTGGACATACCATTTCAAAATCCCGAATCTCTTGAATTCTTGGAACACCACAACGCTCATTCCCCTGTTGCTCGACTTAATTATCTTACGAACGCACACACTGCCACTTTTTGGGTGAGCAGTCTCACTGGTGATGCTGCTGTGGGTTTTGATGAGCCCGTGCTTTCGAATGTACTGTGAAACCTTAGCAGTTGTGTTTGTTACATTTGATTTTTTGTTAGTTGCATCTGTCTGGCAAACTTCGCGCTCTGTGGTGTAAGTTACAGCCGAACAACTATATAGCTTATTATTAACACACGGAATATGGACGAATTTACTTCAGAAATTCATTATTTGCGTTGCTTCCCGTTCAGTAGTTGTGAGCCTCGTAATCACGCCATGTTGTGTTCTGATGACCTAACGTCCTGAATGTGTCGATGCAAACTCCGCCGTGAATTTAAAATCACATTGACCGAAATAAGCGTCCCATAGCTATAACATTTTCACGTTTATTCCATGCGTCACTGAACTTTGATTTGACTGTTGTTTACCATCTTCAATTTGGCCGCTCTTCGTTCTCCCTTACAGGATCCAACTGGGAAGTGTCTCTTTTGTCCCTTGTTTCCTGATCAATCTAACTGTGCATCGCAAGATTGGCTAACCCAGCTGAACTCTCTTTGGGGACTAACCTCCACAGACGGTTCAAAAACGAAGCCTTTGTGTACCCCACAAGCGGTGGCCTACCATGCATTTACCGAACAGCTCGATGCTTGGCTGGTGAGTGGAGTTAAATGACTTTGGAAAACTCGCGGCTGTGTTTGCTTATGAAACAGCAGATATTGTTGATAAGTTTTGGGCGCTGAAACATTCTCAGTTCTTATGACATCTACGGGAACTACAGATAAACAGTATGAGGTCTCTGCAAGGTGGATGCATGGGGAATCCCCGGTTACATGTTACTATCACACACAAACCGAGTGGGGATTGATGGGATTAATGGACGGGACCCTGACACCATTCCTTTTGGCCATTAAGGCATATATATAATAATATATATATAATATGATCTAACACATTGGGTTTAATCTGCAAGTCGTTGACTTGATGAATCAACCCTTCTAATAAATTATCTGATTATCCTGCTCCAATTCAACTCATTTTGAACGGAGCTCAATAGGTCACGTCATCATGTAGTTTTGAGGTTTTCTCATACTGTTATCTGACTATCCTGCTCCAATTCAACTCATTTTGAACGGAGCTCAATAGGTCACGTCATCATGTAGTTTTGAGGTTTTCTCATACTGGATGCCAGTTTACTGACAACTGAGTTCCAAAGGTAACCCAGTCTCTATGTGCGTCTCATGTGTTGGAGCCGTTTTTGTCGATAAAGTTCAGTCAGTACTGGCAACCACATTAGCCAGAAGTAACCTCACCTGATATCAGCCAAGCATACTGGTCACGCATGTCCCTGGTCAGCGCTTGACCAAACAGTACCGGATGACCCTAAATCCCGATGATGGTGTTTCTTATTCCACGTTTCATTGTTTTCTTTGTTTAAGATATTTTAGCCTAAAACACAGCAAATAGGGCGCTATATCAGAGCACGGTCAATACAGCTCGATCTGATATGTTCTTGTTATCGCCGGCTCAGTTAGAAAGTTAGTTTCATAGAAACTCACGGACTAGGCCTATCGGATGAGCCAAGAGAAGGGCAAAAGTAGTTGTGGGTTGTCGAAAACTGTCTAGCAAGATCAATAAAATACTTGGATATCTTGAATATCGTTCCAGGTGAAACACATTCATTTGAAGATTGCCATAAGCGGGGGATTCAGCTGACATTCAGTTGAGTACCCGATTAACAACAGACTTTTTTGCAAAAATGTTGTATTTCGTCACTTGCGTAAAATTTGATATTCAAGAAGGCGAGGTTGACAGAAACTCAGGTAGAAGACTGTGATGATTTCTAAGAAGTGCAAAGCTGGTAATGGACTAAAAACAAAGGAGCCCCAGCAGAAGCTTAGAATTTCGGACATCTATCTAGTTCGGTCTCACGTCGTAAACAGTAGCATGGGCGCTACCACCCGAACACAAAACCGTCCTTGACGTCAGTTTTTATCCACCAGCTTTTTCTAACGATTGGTAAGGGCCACCGGAGTAGGGCCCGTCCGAAGAAACGCTTTATTCTGTGTGTACAAGAAGGTGACCATAAAAACGCGCTTGCGCACATCACGACACATTATCCATCAACTACTTGCATCTTGTTTTACATTCTAGTAAGTATTCCCTATTCTTCTATTTCCTCGCAACAATCCACCTTGTTTCGTTTAGTGTACATGCATCGTAAACCGTCATTGACAAGCTAATTGAGACAAGGAGCACCCGTCACAAGCTGACCGAATCCCACAGTGCACCTCCGTATGACACTCACAAATCCTCTTGTACCAGGTTGGTCAGTGGACAGAGTTCTGTTGAATAGAGTCTCCTGACTCTCCAGGTTGGGAGGTTTGAACATATATGGTGACATTCCCGTAGGGATCGTATGCCAACCACCAGTGCCTTACGGTCAGGCTTCCGACCCCATTCATCCTTCTTGAGCCCTGACAGTATCTCCGCCCACGTGTAACCGTGGTTGTCCGATAGTCGAACACCAGCTCCCACTGCTGGTGCCTTGCTGTCCCTAATACTGATGCACGACATGTGTTCTTTTTTCAAGAGTTGTTCGTTAAGTGGATTTGGATTTGAGATTATAGATTCTTGGGTGCACATGCCACCATCAGGAAATTTTCTTGTGGCAATTCGAATCAATTTCTAAATGACAGCCGTAGTCGGTGCTTTAACCATTTTTCTCCTTTGCTTGTGATGTAAGGTCTCGTAAGCGTCTCTTATCCAACCCAATGTTTCGCAGAGCTTGCTTCTCTCCCATGAGAAACTACTGGTCCCGCTTGATAAATCACATCGGATCGTTAGTCTGTGGAGTCTTTTTGGGTATGACCGCCATTGAACCTGAACGGAGCACGAGAGCTGGAATTCTGCCAGTGTGCTCAAGCCTAGTGCTCCTAGGTCAGTAGCTCACACGTCAGTCGTCGAACGCCTTAATGTTGACAACTGATCGGTTACATCCATACAACTGTGATACTTTCAGTGACTCCAGTAACATGCTTTCCTCACATCCTGAGAATTCTGGCGAATCTTCATGTATCTGTACGGTCTCAAAACGTAGTCCTCTGGCAATTTGGGTCGCTCCACGGCTCGATAGGCAGCACTTTTGTGGCTCTTCAATTATTATTCTTGCCGGATAGCAACCAAACTGAACCATAGTTCAAGATGAAACTGCTTATGTTCATTTCGCCCTTCTGTTTTCCTTTAGGCCGAGCTATCAGAACTACTGCGTGCTCATGCAGTTACGCTTGGAGGGGCATGGGTCAAACTCAACGTCACCAAACCCGTTAACCTCCCTGCTCCAGTACAATCTGCTGTGGATACAATGACATCCCTTCAGCACGTTACAGATGGATCCAATGTGGATTGTGAAATTCCGGTTTCGCAGCAACTTCGGACCCTTCTTTTATTGGGTTGCACTTTCCCAGTCGAACTTGACACTTTGTTGAGTTTCCTCCAACAACTTGCTGGTGCACTCTGATTGTTGCGTTCTCTAGTGGTTCTGGCCCCGCGTTTTGTTTTTTTGTTCCTCAGTCGCATTTTTTTCTATTTTCTAATCTGTCTAGCTCTTTTTGTGCTCTCGTCCTTCCCCATTTCATCATATATCCTCAAGCATTTTTATCTAGGATACTTTTACGCTTGTCTGGTTTGTACATATCTACACACATGCGTCATCCGTACAAATTTTTCATCTGCCAGCAACTTATCCGTACAATCATCACTTTCTTTTATTCTAGTCTGTCTCGGACAATTATCATTAAAATAAACTGCGGTACTTTCTCGATGTTCATGTTTTTGCGCCTCGAGATGGGATTTTCCCTTGTCCCCCCCCCCAAACCATAGCTTGGCTCTGACTATGGTTTCGTCTTCACCAGTTAGAATTTAGGGCCGCAGCCTCAGCTCTATAGAACCACTACCGACTTAGCGCATAAGGCTCGTGCTTGCACAATAACCATACGAAAGTGTACCACACTAGACTTTCTTCATCCGACTGTGACGTAGTCGCGTGCTATCCGATGTTCGCTATTTGCCTCAGTAATGGGGTGGCTCCCCATTTTCGACTTTAACGAGCGGAGCTCTCCTTGTCTTCTTTAGGTTGCTTAAGTACGGTGTTCATCAGCACAGCCACACAGAAACAGCAGCGATCTGGTGACTCATTGGTCACTCGTGGTTTATCCCTAGTCGGTTTGTATAGATCTTAGGGGCATGTGGCTGGCTGTGCCTGACATTGAGGATCACCTAAAGCGTCTCCTGAAATTTTGCGTCCTCTCTGCTCGTTTCTGAGGTAATACAGGCCACTCTTCTTGCAGAAACAAGCCCATGCGATCACAACAGCATATCGTTTACTGAGCTTAGAATATTCTCCCCCTTAGAGTCTACGTTGGCGTTCCTCGCCGTCTACCAGCCAAAAGGTGTATTCTTTTCAAGACGGGATGATAACGTTGGGGGGGGGGGTGTAATGTTGTGACCATTTTTCGCTTCATGCCAGCTGATTAGAGTAATATCGCTGTAAATTATGGGCTTCATTTCTAGTGGCACTTGTCATATTCTCAAGGGAAACCATTCAAATCTATTGGAGATTGAGTTGTGATTGAAACATGAGTGGTCTTATAGTGCTGTCGTGGGATGTGTAAGGTCTATTCTGGCGGCCAGAGATTCGAAAATCTTGAGTAGATTCACTGAACTCTATTATTTTATAATATTGTATTCTGCCACTTAGCTTCTCGGTATCTGGCCCCACTACATTTCCCCCGCATGCGTGCAAATTTCTATAGCCCTGAGACGAAACGATTTTATCCAGCACGTCCTTATCAGATTGCTCACCTAATGCGCGTACACGGGCGTCGATCGGGGCCACTCTGTGGAAATTCGTCTGCATTATTGTTTAACTCAGGCGCACTGCGTTGTACCAAGTGTGTAATCATGTGTGTAATACGTATCTTATACCAACCGCTTTTGAGAGTGAAGTCGCTACACAGTGGTCTGGGAGTCGACTGTTGTCTTTCCCGGTTCGTCTCAATGGATTCTTGGGCGAAATTCTACTCTGGTATACCTCACTAATCTTCTGTGGACAACTGCGTGCTGTATGGTGTAAGATGGGGCTAATTTCTTAGTGTCATTAGTCATTACATAGGCTTAATTTGGCTCCATTGTTCACGAATAACCTACTGCCGCTCAACGAAGTAAGCCACAGTAATTCCCCAAAATGCTTGCTTGCACCTGGTGGGCCAGTCACTATGGACTCTGGGGACGGTCTCTCTCTCAGGGGAAACTGATTTCGGCCATACAGGCAAGTTTTAATACATCCTACGATAGTGTGATGAAAGAGTGAAGCAATACTGTTGTTCTTGTTAACAATGACAATCCAGTGCACTGAGAGGACGGGAACTTTGCGCTTTAGGGGACGTTACTTCACAAAGGCTCTCACTTACTCGGGAAGCACTACACCAACGGAGCTACAGCGTATCCACCCCCGTGGTCGCACTTGGATTTACCATCCAATCACCACAGCCTCCTGATTCAACAGACGATGCATCTCAACGTCGTCTGTAAGTCCATCGTGTAACCGCCTAGCGAGCCAGACGATGATCTCACCCGGATACCAAGGTGGCGTTGACTAAGGATTTATAGCTTTTACGCTACAGAAACCCTGTGGGGTAGTGATCCTTCGGTGCTATGGGTTCATGACAATTTCTGTGGATGGAAAACAGAAAGGAATCTCATGACCCGAAGCTTCGGCTTGTTCACAACAGCACTTACATGTAAATCAACCAAAAAGGTGGATGCTGTTTACTACAGATTTGCGTGGAAATCAACGGATGTTTGTGGATGAATTAAACAACCTCACCCCTTCTATTGACATGCGCCAGTGTAAGGTCATGCAGTCACTGAACATGCCATCTGTAATCCAAGGGCAGGCGCTCGAGTTATGCGAGGGTTTCGCTTATATTCCAAGTTGCATAAGTTCCGAGTGTAGTGTGACAGCTGAAGTTAACGCACTAATTTATATATTTCGAGTCACGGTCGATAATTTGAGATGCATATCCGTATACTCGCGACCCTCAAGGAACCTCTGTTTCGGGTTACAGTAAGGGCCGCTTTGTTGTATGCCTCCTGAACGTGACCTGTACAAGCAGCAAAAGTGAGGTGTCTTCAGGTCCTCGACGATTATTGTCTTTGTACCATAGCTCGTGCGATCTGGTGCAGGCAAGTCAATTAGAAAGCGAGTATCCTGTTGTGCGACGTATACCTCGGTCGAAGAATGTGTCTAGCACCAAAATATGCAGTGGTTTGGTTATGTATTTCGCACACTACGTCAGCATTTGCAAAAAGAGCGCACCAATTTTAGAATGACGCGACCAGGGATGATCAGTCTTTCACTTAGAAGAGGGAGGTGATGGACTCCGAGCAAGGTTTAGCAACCCAAAGCGCGGTACGTTCGAAATCGGTTTCGTTTATCCCTTGTGCAAATTTGTGAAAGGATCCTTTCGCTGTTCAATTTATTCATAGAGTACACACGGGTCATTTGTTGAATTTTCTCACTCTAACATAACATTTGCGTGATAAACCCTGTTAGTTTGCGCCCACTTCCTATTTTGCATCCGGTCTCAACCATGGCATAATGAATACAGACTGCCCTCTGCAGACATCGATAGACCACAACGGATGTGGGCGAAATGACTATCCATCGAACGTATAACGCGGTATGCAACCCAACACCTGCAAGGTCTGGTGGCACTTTAAATGCACGGGTTTACGGGACGATCAGGTAGGCCAATTAGCTAGCTCTCCTGACCCGTTTGTCTGCGACAGCTGCCTCTACATTAAGCATGCAATGCATATCGCAGCTCAGGTGAGGGACACCGAAAACGAAACACTATCCCCACTGCTGAATCATAAAGACCAGTGAGTGATCCGGTTTGATCGGGATACTCGATGGAAAACTGGAGCTTGTTTCTAAAGCGCTGGAGGAGACTAACACAAAGAACTCAGCGACCTGGACAGAAGCTGACAGAGTACGTTCTTTGCACTATCCATCCCGGGTACGCTGGCTGCGAGAAAATTCATCCACATCTCTGACGCGACAGTAAAAACCGTAATGGCGTCTCTAGTGGACAGGCGCTTAAGGAAGAGCAGAATGATAATCTGGGGGTCGTTTTCCAGAAAAACCACGCCAAACAAGCTGGAATGGTCGCTTCTTCGTAGTGTTCTCACTAGGCCTGATCACCAATCGCTTCACGCAGAATAGTTACGCCAGGTGGGAAGCAGGCTAACTCTCGGCCTTCTAATCTCCCTTTCCTCCCCATCTGCCGTACAGAAGATCTTAAAGTGGGCTGCCAGAATTCAATGACCTACCCAACGATCAGGCATCTATCTGAGGATCGCCCACTGGAGGTGCGAAATCTGGGTCACAGCAGTTCTGGGGAAGAGGCGCGAAACAGTTTTCCGCATGGCGCCAGTTCAGCTGACCCCAAACTCACTGCCAAACCGATTGTAGTCATAGCTCCGTGTGCTCCTGAAAGTATGTCAACGCAACCGTCCTCGTTCCGGACAGCAGTTTCTACTCAAACACCACAGATCCCACGTCTATCAAAAGCAGTGATGCTCTGGAGGAGGCAAGCCTTGTGGAAGCGCGCCCAAAGTACGTGGAGCTATCAGCGCTTCTTTCCGTAACAGAAGCAGTGATCTCCTCACCAAAGCCACAGCCTCTGAGCTGGGCTGAGTCAGATGTGCGGAGACAAGCGGCGAAGCACATCGGCAAATCAACTATATGCGTTCATCTCGACATTGGGGAATGCTGCGACAACCATACGACCCTTGATAATCTGGAACTTCAAATCTTCAGCTCCACTCCGCCAAAAGTGGCCTTTTTGCTTGCGGGCACGGTCATCGCCCAGGACCCTGACCAACAAGGCCACAAACGTGACTAAAGCGAACCGAAAAATCCCTCGTACATCTAGCGGGCTACACTGATTGCCGGTAGATCGGGTGCCCATTCCCAAGAAACCAAAAAGACGAAAGTTTGCCTCCAACCTTTGATTAACAGCAAATCTGGTCGTCAAAAAGACTACACGTAGCAATGGTTGAATTTTTTGCCCAGGGGAAAAACTCCGTCCCCAATAGACGATAGACGGTTACTCTGTTTATCGAGCTGAC